GCTGTACTGTGCTGTACTGTGCTGTACTGTGCTGTACTGTGCTGTACCATAGTGTACTGGAAAAAAGCATTGGAGGCATGTTGCTTCCTAACTTCCATCCATTATCTTTACCCGCTTATTCCATTTTGGGTCACGGGGGTCGCCGGTGCCCATGTCCAGCAATCACTGTGCGAGGGGCGGGGGACACCATGGATGGTCTCCAGTCCATCACAGGGACACATAGAGACAAACGAGACAAACAACCATTCACTCTCTCACTCACACCTAGGGACAATTTAGAGTTACCAGTCAGCCTAACATGCATGTTTTTGGTCTGTGGGAGGAAACTGGAATACCCGGAGAAAACCAACGCATGCACAGAGAAACCGGGTTCAAACCCCTGGACCGGGGTTTGAACCAGGGCCCTGCTCGCTGAGAGACAGCTGCTCTACCAGTTGCGCCACCGTGCTGCCCGCTTCCTAACTTTATACACTATTATTGGGCAGCTAATATCAGAGCTATTCTATTCTGGTTTGGCAAGGACACCCCTTCTCCTAGTTGGGTGAGCTTGGAAAGGGCCTCAATTAGATCTAGTTCTCTTTCTGCAATACTCTGCTCCTGGCTGCCCTTTAAACAATCAGTATCAACATACACTTCTAACCCAATTGTGATCTGGGCGATAAAGATTTGGAATCAGTTCAGGAGGGCATTTATCACACAGAGTTACTGTTTACAGCTCAGTGGCTGATACAGCTTTTGACCCCTGGGCCTTGAGGGGAGTGCATTCATTCTGATCTGCGTTGATGGTAGATTTGCCTCTTTTGAACAGATGGTACAGAAGTTTAATATTCATAAGTCACAGTTTTTTTAGATATCTGCAGCTAAGACATTTTGTGAGGTGTGGCTATGATTGTTTTCCTGTGTACCCCTTTAAACATTTTGTTGCTAAGATTTTGGAATGCAGGTCTGATACCAAGGGTCTTTAGTAAAATGTATACATTGCTTAGTTCATACCACGAGTCCAGTTTGGACTCGCTTAATCTGAAATGGGAAGCATACTTGGAGGAACCCATATCAGACTCAATCTGGAGAAGGACTATTAAGAAAATGTATTAATCTTCACTCTGCCTGAGACATGCTGTGATCCATTTCAAAGTAGTGCACAGGCTGCACTGGTCCAAAGACAAGTTGTTCAAGATCAATGACGACCGGGACCCTGCATGCAATCGTTACAAACAAACTCCAGCCACACTCTTGAACACATTCTGGACCTGTCCCAAACTGCAGACTTTTTGGCAATCTATTTTCGACACCTTCTCTGGAATATGTGGAAATACTGTTCACTCATCACCATTCATTGCACTGTTTGGGATGGTCCATATGGACACTGGCAAATGCCAGAGGGATGTGATTGCTTTTGATTCTCTTCTGGTCAGGAGACTAATTCTGTGCAAAGAAGCACGCTCTTCAACGTATGTACATTTGGGTAAGGGAGGTCATATATATAAATCATATACATTTGGAAAAAAACAAGATACACCCAGAAGGGGTCTGTTAAAAGATTTTAGGAGATGTGGCAGCCTTTTATGTTGTATGTTGAAAACATGTCAGTACTTGTTTAATTTATTTACGTACAGTATGTTTGACTGATCCGGGGTGGGAGGGAAGGGGTGGGTGTGGTCTGTTCCTTGTTCTTTGTTCTATGTTTTTTCTTTTTCTTTTGTTGTTTGCTCAAAAACCAAAACATTCAATAAAAAGACTGTTTAAAAATATATATTTATGACAATTTTTGTTAAAAATTTGGGGTGGGGTTAGAAGATGCAGAAGACTAAAAGGGATGATGGATGATGACTCGCTGTGGCAACCAATGATAAGGTAAGGTAAGGTAACCGGTGAAAGAAGAAGAAGACGATAATGCTACTTTTAGTTATTATCATCTGTTCTGCTACTTTTGCTTTTAGATAGTGTTTTACTACTTTTAGCTTTTAGGTGTCATTCAGCTTACTTTAGCTTTCAAATAATGTTCTGCTTCTTTTAGATTAAACTTCTTCATTTTCTGTGAAGTCATTTAGCACTCAGCATTCACACTGTACTTTTGCAGAAAATGTTATTGGATGTTAGCAGCCGTGTTTTACCTTTATGATGTTCTGGCAGGTTGACAGTGAGAGTCCTACCAGACTGGTTCCATTGACTGACATGATCTGGTCTCCGATGTTCAGTCTGCCGGATCTTTCAGCTGGCCCAGCATGCATCATGTTAGCAATGATTACTGTGGGTAGGATGGATCCCCAACCACTCTCCACAATGACCACACCCAGAATGTCCCCCCTAGATTTCTCTATTAACACCTGAGGTCAGAGAAGGAAACATGCAAGTAAAAAGAAATGACACAGAACATTTAAATACTTAAATGACATCAATGTGCCACAGTGTGTATCAAATAAATAAATGAGTCAGTCAGCCACAACTGCAAAGTCAGCTAGATTTGGAGTTGTGGCTACTGTGGCTATTGGGCAAATGTTTTAGGAAGGACAGGAACATACAACACATAAAACACACCATAAAATGCTTACACAAATTTCAACAGTTTTTAAATTATTAATTTTTAGTCTTTTATTAAGTAAGTAAGTTTCTTTCAGATGCTCCCTTCTTCAGGGGTCACCACAACAAGTGAACTCACATGAAAGATTTGGCGCTATTTACAAGACGAGCTGAATACAGCACCTCAGACTGAAGAAGTATTTCGGATGAAAGACGAAACGCTTCTACATTTTTTGTTTTGTTTTGTTTTTTGAATGTCCAGAGGACCAGACTTAACTGTTTTAGATCTTTCTACCAGGATTTTTGAGCATGCATCAGGATATTTGGCTCTTTGATTTAGGCCGGATGCCCTTCCTGATGCAACCTGGGCTTGAACCAGCAACCTCAGGATTACAAGACCGTGACACTAAACACCATGCTACCGCAGCAATTTTTTTTTTGCATTTTTGTAATCAACAAAAATAAAGTAAGTCTAAATCAAATCAATATTCAATGTGACCACACTTTAGCATCAAAGCAGCATCAGTTCATACCGGTGCACTTGCACAAAGGTGAGGATTCTGTAGGTTTACAAAAGGCCGTGGATGTTTGCCTTAAGTTCTGCTCTAAATTAGTTTATTATTTTAGTAATGCAGGTATATTGTTGTTATTCTCTGAGTAGCATATTTTTGTCCATTATCAGATTCCATAGACTAGTGTAGTCGCATGATGATGATGTCATGAAACATTTCTGAAAACTGAACAACTCTGTTCTATAAGGAGCAGCGAGGCCATTCAGAGCTTTAAAAACAAATTATAAAAGTTTAATTCTATTCTAAAACGGACAGGAAGCCAATGTAGTGAGAGTAAAACAGTGTGATGTGGTCCCGTCCAGGAGCGGCTGCTGCGTTTTGAACCAGCTGGAGGAGCTCAGTGATGACTGAGGTGCACGACACACACAGTTACAATAATCGAGCTGAGAACTGATGAAAGCATGAACAGCGTCTCCAAGTCACAACGGTTCAAAAAGGGTTTGACCTTTTTTAAAAGATGTAAATAAAAAAATCCAGACCAGACAGCAGAGGTGATGTTTGTCAAAGTGTAAAACATTATCAAAGGTCACTCCAAGGTTATTCACACTGTCACTGAAGTTGATGTTCAAATGTCACAGGTCAGCTGCATCTTTGTCCCCAAATAAAATCCATTCTGTTTTACTGTCATTTAAAAACAGGAAGTTCTTGTTCATCCAGTGTTTGATTGAAGAGATGCAGTCAAATGCCCCTTTTCCACTGTCACGGCGCGGGTCGGATATTTCCGGGTTGAAGCGCGTTGGAGGTATTTCCACTGTTCCAGAAACCGGCTCGTCTCGCTAAATTCTGGCCCGGCTTCTCAAGGGTTCCGAGCGAGCCGCGCCGTGACGTCAGAAACACTGTCGGTCACTGATTGGTCGGGGGGAGGAGTCTGTGGAGTCTTTCCAAACAACCCGATCCACCATTTTTTCTCTACCGCTTGCCATTAGCGATAACACAAGGAGCGTATCTTGTAGTATTTTGAAGCTATACAACAACAATAATATCAAAGCCTTGGTCAAATGCAGAAGTGCAGGTGTTGTTGTGCTTGGTGGCCGACGAAAAAAGTCAAAGCGAGCTAGAAGGAGGATTGGAGGGTGGTTTGGACACGACTATTGCTCTACTTGAACCATTTATAGAAGATGGTGAGTGTTTTCTAACTTTAAACATATTTTAAAATTACTCATCCCATCGGTTCTGAAGATATTTTTAACTAACAAAAGAGGCTGACGCCATAATAGTACAACGTCGGTGCTACGATGCTAAGCTAATTTGCATAAATGCTAACTGTCCTCCGGTCCCGTTTCTCACTGTATTTTATCCAGAACGTATTTCAGCGCGTGACAGTTCATCTCTAAACTCCACATTAAACCCTCCAAGCCTCCCGGCTTCTGCTCCTGCTCCATCAGAGGAGTCTACACCTGACAGAGCTCCATCACAGCCCAGCTGCACCTCACAGAGCAGCACAACACTGCAGCTTCTGTGCTCGGTAAGAACAGATGCAACATGTTCCACATCACTTTATTTGTGCCGATAAGGACTTGATTTATTTTATTTTTAAAGTAAAAAACTAAAATGTTGAATAAATACTGAATTGGGATGAAATTATGTACACAGGGTCCCAGTTACAGACAACAAAACGTAAAATAAAAACAGTAATAAGATCTAAGATATGAACTAAGAAAAATATCAACTAAAAAACATCTACTAATAAAACACTAATCACTAATAGCAGTAAACAATCAAAACAATACGTCAAACAACAACATGAACTTGAGTTTGTGCAGCCTCATGAATATATAACACTGTGAAGAATCACATCATGTAGCTGCTGATCAGTTTCATGTTGCTGCTGATCAGTTTCATGTTGCTGCTGATCTGTTTCATGTTGCTGCTGATCAGTTTCATGTTGCTGCTGATCTGTTTCATGTTGCTGTGTTCATGCATGCTCGTCTGTTCACACAGACTCATGTCCGTGCTGCTGTTCTGCGTATTGTGTTTAATGTTTTTATGCTATTAGAGCTTATATTTTTAGTTGATGTTTTTATTAGTTCATATCTTAGATCTTATTACTGTTTTTCTTTTATATTTTATTGTTGGATGTAACTGGGACCCTGTGAACATAATTTTGATCCACCACATGTACCACATGTGGTGCGAATGACAAAGAATATCTGCATCTGTATAATACTTTCTGATTCATATATCCATTATTATCATTTTCATTATTTTTAAATCAATTTATTTTTCATTTTCTTATTTGATCAGTTTATAATTATTAATATATCTATTATAGCTGTTAGCAGCACCTTTCTTTGTTTCATGCATTTATTCAAAAACAGCATGTAGCTTGAATTAACCACCTGTTTCTTCTTTCTAGTGAAGAGAAAGAGAAAAGAGTCCAGTAAAGAAAAGTCTTATTCCATCACTGAATGAACATGAAGAACTGAAGCGGACACAGCAGGAACAACACTTGTGTCTTCTTCTGGATGAAGCCCGTGAGACAAGGGACACACAGATACACAATCATTAGTTGGACGCAGTAGTTTTTATTTTTCTACATTTTTCACTTCTTACTTTTCCTATTAAAAAATTTTTTTCTTAAGTGGTGTCCTTGAACATTAAATTTCCTAAACAAATTTTACAATGTTAAGTTCATATAGTGTTTGTTTAAATTCATACTGGAATTGAGAAGAATTTCCAATTGCATTTGATCTTTAATGGATCCTAAGAAAAGATTACCAGAATCTGCTCAACTGTTATTATGTTATAAATGTTTTGGTTCTAGGATGAAGTGAGACAAAAACAGTCAAAAATTCAGAAAGGACAGTTATCAATTATCAGTTATCATTTATCAGTTATCGGCCGTACAACTGTGGCCTGAGAGATTCAGCTGAAAGTCCTGGTGCACCTTTTATTTGAACCTGCAGAGATTTGAACAGCTGATCTGAAGCAAACAGGCAGGAGTTCACCTGAACTGACCACTCCTGCTGTTTGATGGTCTCCTCCTTCGCCACCCGTCCATCCATCCATCCATCCATCCATCCATCCATCCATCCATCCATCCATCCTCTTCTGCTTCAGGGTTGTGGGAGCAGCATCTTCACCAGGGAGGCACAGACATCAACAGCCACCTCTTCAACTCTTCTAGGACCCCATGGTGTTCACAGACCAACTGACTATTTATTAATTAATATCCTGATGCTGCTCAATAATCCAGGTAGAAAAATCTAAAAAGTTAAGTCTGGTCCTCTGGACATTCACAAAACAAACAATACAGTTCATAATAAATAAACTAAATGTTTTTTGTTAGTTTTGTTTTTTGAATGTCCAGAGGACCAGACTTTTTTAGATTAATAAGTAATAAATTTATGTTTTAATTTAATGAAAGACAAATCTTTAAAATTCAAGGACAAAATTTAATCTAATTGTTTTCAAGTCTGTATCTTATTGTAAAAGCAGTTTCAAAGATTACAGCACAGTGTGATGTTTTGCAATTTTAACATGAACCTTGTGCATATCTGCAAATAATAAAAGTGAAGATATTTTTAATACATCTTTATTGTAAAAATCTATACTAAAATGAAAAACACATGGGTTTAAAGCAGCAGGGAAGGCAGTAAGGTAGGATTATGAATCAGGTCTAAAGTTACAGCTCATGAGGTACTCCATTAGAGCATGACATCTTTTCCACAACATCGTGTGACAAAACCTTCAGGGTGTTCTTCTTCTAATACGTTTAGTGGTGGCTAGTAAGTAGCTTAAGGGAGCACTACCGCCACCAGGTGGTAAGACGAGTTGGATTCTAGTCCCCGCCTACAGAGCTGGTCCAGAA